TAGCAATTGGGTCCTGGTTTTTGGGCACGTTATTGGTTTCTGGGATCAGGTGTGCTGGCTCCTGACCTGCCCAAGGAAAGACGATGCACGCACAAGAACTGCTGATCTGAGGGATACACCGACTTATTCCAGCCCTGCCTTATCCTCGCTCTGGCTTCAGGTAGCTCCCAGGGCTAAGAGCCCTTCACAGCCAGCGCGAGGGACGCCCGGAGAGCTGGGAGGTCCAGGCCACCCCCGGCCCTACCGCCTCTGGCCCTTCACTCACCTGCTTCCTTCGACCACTTGAGGATCGACGTGACTTCATTGCCGGCCGTTGTGTTGCACTGGTCTCGCATCACGGCCGCGCTCACGCCCACCGTCCCCTCGTTGGCCTTCACCCCGCAAAGATAAGCCGTGGCCGTGCCGGCACTGTCTGGCACTTGGGCATCGGTATTGTAGGTCTGCAAAGAGAAGCCGTGAGGGGAAACGAACAAGACCGGCATCGTCATCAGCCTGCACCGCCTGCCCTTCGTCCACCGGACACGCGCTCAAACCCAAACAGAGAGCGGGGTCGCAAAATCCCCAAAGCCCCTACTCCGCTGACCGTGCAACTCGCCCTCCGTGCCCACAGTTACCCGGGGCAGGGGCTTATGATGCCCCAGCTGCTCTGACATACCTGTTCGGGCTCTTAATTATCCAGTGACAAGTGAAAGCTCAACCAAGGGCATCTTAGCCACACTTCAGTCCAGGGAAAGCTTCCCGGTTTAGCTGTCCCCCCGAGATCAGAGCAAGCATGTGATAAATGGCATGGTAAATCCCCACACCCCATACAAACTGTTCCCACTGTGGGGAGGGGGTCACATAAATGCCAGGTCTGGACAACAGGGAGAAATCTGAACTGTTGGCCTAGGAGGAAGGGAACGGGGAAGAGTGAAAATGTGCAAGCCTTTGGGGGGTTGGCACATCAGGCCGGGCACTTTATTCTCTGAACCAAGAATAGGTCATTGCACAAGGCTTTCTTCATAGCTTCCCTGAGCTAGGCTCGATGCCCAGGCTCCCTGGCGAGGTTTGTGGTGGGGCGGGATACGCGGTGGCTGGGCCTGGCACGCAGGGGGCCTGGAGAAGGAATATCCCCGGTCCTCCACCACCGTCTCATCGGCATGTGCACGGCAAACGGGGAGGCAGCAAAGGGAGAGGGCAGGGCTGCCTTTGCCTGATGCTCTCCACCAGCTGCTTTTCCCTCGATGCCTCTGCCCCCAGGGCAGGTAAATGAAACTTGTTTTTAGGCCAGAGCTGCAGCAAGGTTCACCACTCTGCCCTAAGGCTCCTGGCACGAACCTTGCACGTCCAAGGGCAACGCCACTGGTTTGGGGCCAGCGCTGGCTGCTCGTGCCAGGTCCCAGTCCTACCCCAGTTCAACTCAAGGGTTGTAAGGGGACTGCCTTGAACCCACCTGTGGCATGCCCGAGGCAGAGAGAACAGATGCTCCCCCCGATGACACACACAGGGATGATCCCAGCCCCACTTGGCCTGCTGGCCCGCGTCCATCCATCCCCACCCACCACCAGCTGCAGGGCTTCTACGAGTTGCTTCAAAAACAAGTCCTTTGGGAACCCTAACCAGCCCCATCTGAGCCAGCAGAAAGACTGCCCCAGCCGCCGCCAGGAAGGCATCGCGCCTCCCAGAGCTGTCGGGATAGGGCAGTGGCTGCAAACCCACGAAGGGCTGCACGGGGGCAGGATCGGCTTCCAGGGACCCCTGTATCCTCAGCCTCCCCACTGGCCGCACCAAGGGAGGGGGACAAGCAAGCACAGCTTGCCTCTGCGCCGGCTCCCAGCACCTCCTGGCTCTCCCGTGGCGGGGCCGCTACAGCTCACCAGCGCCGATGCTTGCTCCACAGCTGCCCACCATCTGAGCTACTCACCTCCACAAGTATTTTTAACCGTGTCGAGAGCATTTTTTTAACCTGGCAGCAGGCAGGGGATTAGTGGCAACTAATATTTGATTTGATATGATTTTCAAAAAGGTTATTTTTTGCCATTTTTCCTCCGGAGCGAGGCCTCCCTCGGCCAGCTCTGCGGCGAGCAGAGGGCTGGCCTCACCCTGCGTGTCCCCCTGTCCGATGACACAGAGCACAGAGAGGAGCAGGGCTTCGGCTCAGCGGGTCTCCCCCATGCCAGGCCAGCCACCCGGAGCTGGCTGGGCTCCGGGAGACGGCTTGGGTGGAAAGCACATCCCAGAGGCTGCTGGCACAGCAAGCCACGTTCCCACTCCAGCTGCCAAGCCTCGTGACCAGGGGAAACGGCTTGAGCAAAACTAGATTTTGCTTTTGAGTATTTTAAATCTGTTTTTCCAGAGTGGCTCATCTCTGTGCTGTTTTACTCCTTGGCAGGCAAGTGCAATGGGCCAAGGCCATTCCTGGAGGAAGCAAGCACACCCTTCACGCCAGGGCTGGATCGGACTGCTGGCTGCTGAGCGAGTCACTGCCTCGTCTCCCCGTTTGCCACCCGACACGACCGAGGCTCGATAGTGCAAAGCCCGGGAGTGCTCGGCCTCAGAGATTCTCAGCAGCAAGAGGACAGGACAAGAAGCAACGGGCTCAGGATGCAACAAGGGAAGTTTGGATCTAGGAAAAACTCTCTCACGAGGAGGGTGGTAAAGCACTGCTGCTCAGGTCAGGAAAGAGCCGCTGAGAAAGTAGGAGGGAGGGAAGAGCCCTGGTTTCCTCCATGGGAAGCAAGCAACCACCAGGCCCACAGCTACGGGCTCTGCTCTGCACCTCACAGCTGTCAGTGCCACCCATCTAGGACACATCTGTGGCCCCGTGGCCCGAGCATCTCACAACCCCCATGACATAGGGCACTGCTATTTTCCCCATCTCTGCAACAGGGCTCTCGGAGACCAGAGAGATGATGTGACCTCCAAGGTCACGGTGCAAGTGTGCAGCAGGGCAGCGTGCAAACCAGCCCCCCCAGTGCCAGGCTGCTGTCCTAAGCCCTGGACCACCCTGGGAGGCCTAACAAACAAAGGCTTCCCACTGACAACCCACCAGGCATTCACAGGGGACAAGGCCACAGACCCCAGGCCTCTGATGTCTCCTCGTATCCCTAGTCTCTGCGTTTCCTCTTGGAGGTTTGTTATTAATAGGGGTGAGGACACGGTGGCGGGGAAGAAGCCAACACTGGAGAGGAATTGTGGCCTCCCTGACGTCCATGGGAGGTTGGCCACTGGCTTCAATAGGGTCAAGATCCCACCCCCATTTGCCTGTTGCTCTGCTAAAGATACCCAAGACCTCAGGGTGTCAGAGGCAGCAGGGCGAGCAGCAGCTCAGATCCGAGAAACCAGGGCCAAAGCCCCTTGCTCTTCAGGCTGACTTGCAAATCGAGCAAGGGGATCTGGACCCTCAAGCCCCATCCGTTCCAGAACCTGAGGCTGCTTCGAAAATCAAAGGATCGTAGAAAATGAGGGTTAGCAGGGACCTCAGGAGTCCCATCTAGTCCAAGCAGGACCAGCCCCAACTACATCATCCCAGCCCCGGCTTTATCTACCTGGGTCTTAAACACCTCCAAGGATGGAGACTGCACCACCTCCCTGGGGAGCCTGTTCCAGTGCTTCACCACCCTCCCAGTGAGACAGTTTTTCCTAATGTCCAACCTCAACCTCCCTTGCTGCAGCTTGAGCCCATTGCTCCTTGTCCTGTCATCTGCCCCCACTGAGAACAGCCCAGCTCCATCCTCTTTGCAGCCCCCCTGCAGGGACTTGAAGGCTGCTGTCAAATTCCCCCTCAGTCTTCTCTTCTGCAGACTGAATTAGCCCATTTCCCTCAGCCTCTCCTCAGTCCTGTCCCCCAGCTCCCAAACCATTTTCACTGCCGTCAACGAGACTCTCCAATGTGTCCACATCCTTTCTGCAGTGGGGCCCACAGCTGGACACAGGACTCCAGATGTGGCCTCCCCAGTGCTGAACAGAGGGAAGAATCACTGCCCTCCATGTGCTGGCACCGCTCCTACCAACGCAGCCCCAGATACTGTTACCCTTCCTGGCAAAATGTCGAGTTTCATTTGTCCACCCAAGATGCACACGTGCATGTCGCATGGGTCGTGAGGACCGTGGGCACTTGGCTGGAGAGGAAGCCGAGAAACACAGAACTCACCGAACAAAGGTGCTTTGTCTTTTGAAGGAGCACTTCTAACCAGTCTCCTGAGCTGCAGCCGATACAGCCTTTTCTTACAAAATCCCAGGGAAAATACCATTGTTTCCCAGCCCCATTACCATTCCCAGTTTGGGACAAAGGTTGCCCGGGGGGGGGGGGAAGCATGTGACAGAGCAATTCAGGTTCTTCTGTAAACAGAAACCCAAAGAGAGCCCTAAAAAGGGATAAGTGCCAATCTCCTGGTGCCAGTGCTGTCCCTCCCTGAATATACACAGCCTCTGGCTAACCAGTATCCTCATACAGAACATTCTTCAGGTGTTTTCCTAACCACAATCTGACCCTTAAAATTTGGCCCAGGCACTTTTTCAAGGCGTTTTATGGGTGCCCTTAAAGGACAAGTCGCCTGTGCGCTCAGTGCTGTAAAGCCCGTACATCCGCAAGCAATTGCATGAGGTCAAACCCTCGGAGAAGGGCTCTCCCTCACTGCCCTGGGAGCTGCAGCCTCTTGACACAGGTCTTTGCCACTGGCAGTGACCTATTTGCAGTCTGGTTTATTTACAGCTCCCATCAATACCAGCTGGTCTAATGCTGTTCAGGTCACTGGAAAGGATTCTGCCTGGGGTGCCCGCAGCAGAGCGCTGGCGTCACTGGACCCAGAGACTCATTTCAGTCTCCCCTCTCCTGCCCTCCTCCCAGAGGAGCTGGTGAGAAACAGAAGGCATGAGGTGGCCCCTGGTGCCAACCCTTGCAGAAAGTGATTTTGAATATGGAGTGAAGGACCGGTTGCAATCACCCTCCAGAGAGTCCCACGCAGGGACTGGAGAGGCAGCTGCCTGAGAAGCAAGCAAGCTTCCTAGGCCTAATTTCAGGGATAGCGCCACTGGTGCAGCCCAGCCCCAGAGATGAGGTGGCCTTGATGCCAGGCAGCTGGGAGGGAAGTGAGTGCTGGAGAGAGGCAGCCCGACTCCACCGCCAAGAAGGAAACCCAGCGGGTGCAAGACAGTCCTTAGCTATGGAGTTGGGCTAGGACCTCGTGAGCACAGTCTCCAGCTGGAGCTGAGCTGCATCGTAAGACCCCAACACCGACATTTGCCAAAAGGCCTCCACGTAGTCCTTCCCATGCAATCCAGAGCAGACCAAATGCCTGGAGGTTACCAGTGACAGACCCTGCCCCTCCCCTCCAGCTTGCACAGCTGGCTCCTACTTCACCCCCCCCCACCGAGAACAGCTGGGCACGCAGCCTCCAGGCTCTCCGCACAGGGGCTCACCTTGGACAGGGCCACATAAGGAAATTTGTCCATTTCCAGCATGGTTTCTTCGCCCTGCATGTGCTGCAGCTGCCCCTTGAGGATGCGTGCCGCGGTGACTGTGGAGATCCCCATTCCTGCAGCAGAGGGGAACAAAGGAAGCAGGTGAGCAGCACGGATCCGGTACCGGTGCGTGGACCAGCTCCTGGCCAGTCTCACTCACCCGAAGAACCAGCATGAGCCGGGGACCCGCTGCCTCCCAGACAGAGAACTGATAAACTTGCGTCGTGTCCTGCTCAAATGCAAAGCAGCCAGCAGGTCTCCTTCACCTGAAGCAGACCCTCAGCGGAAGAAGAACTGGAAGCATTTGCAAGCTGGTCTGACTTTATTCCAACCCTACAGTTAGCAAAATGAGAAAGACCATCCCAAAAAACCCCTCACCTCCACATACTCTTGTCTTCCCTAAATGAGAGGAATGATTTCAGGCTATCAATAAGCCGAAGCTTGTCATTTTTCTCATCCAAAATGGCAAACAGTTCCATTCCTAGCAAAGAAGAGCTATTTTGGTCGAGAAACCAGGACTTTTGACCAGTTCTGAAGAGCAGCTGTCTTCCATGGTTTCAGAAATTTAAAATCAAAGATTTTGACTAATAGACTATGATTACAGCACATCCCTGTGACAGGTGGCTACTGGGTCACGAATACCGACCTATCATGACAAACCATCAAAAAAAAAATAGGGTCCCCTCAACAACAACGACAAAAGTCTCACTTTGAAATCATTTCAACAGCTACTGGAAAATAAACCTAAACACAACACATGGTTGCACAAGTCCTGCTCCAGGTGGAAATTGCCAAATTCAGAGATAAAGTAATCGCTGTCAAAATGTCCAAATGTGCGGTGTCAACTGTCTCAAGACGTGGACCCCGCCTGCAATTCAGGAAGCTCCGATCCGTTCATGGTTTCACTGTAATCTGCTTCTGGGTATCGGGCAACTCATCCTGCCTCCATTTCCCTTCCCACCCTTTCTTGGCCATGGGTGTTGCTGTAATAATAATATTGCAACATGATCCTTCATTATTTTATTCTGCTTGGGCACATTTCTGTCCCTGGGATTTCCCTTTACAACTCATGAACCCAGAATCTGCAAGTTAAAACAGACTGAGTTGCAACGACAGCGCTTGCAGGCACCCACTGAGCGTGTCATTAATGCACCCTAATTACTGCACATGTTGTTTAGTACTTCCTGAATGAAGTAACTAGAGTTATTTAGTAATGCTTACTGTGCATTAGCCTAATAACACTGTGCAGTAGGCTACTGACATGGTTTTTGCCATGACACACTACTGCGCAGTGTTATTAGGCTAATGCGCACTAAGTGTCTTGTGTAGACACGCCGACTGACTCCTAAGGACACTGGGGCAGGGAGGGCAGCGCACACAAATCTAGGGTGACCAAGTGCCCTGGGGGTTAAAATGGGGCAACTTGAAAAGGGCTGGTGGGGGACAAAAGCTTTCATTTAGAGAAACCAAGACAGATGTTTATAATGGGACTGTCCCAATGGCAACAGGACATACAGTCACCCTAGGCAGATCGACCTGCAGGATCAGGGCAGAAGATGCTATTAAGGTTCAGGGAAAACAAATTCACAAGCTCCTGGTGGGTTTAGGAGCCTAAAAAATCTCATGAGGGGCAGTAGAAATCAGGCTCCTAAATTTTAAACCACTTAGATGTATGTGGGAGTGGATGGCGGGGAACAGAGAAGTAGAGAGCTCCAGACACATCCCACCAGGTTCTTCTTTAGTAGTTTACATCCCAGGAGTGCTGGCTCAACTTGTTTTTTTCCCCCTTTAAATCAGCATTTGAGAAGAGGGTAAAAAGTGACCTTAGCTTTAAGAAAGATGTTTTGCAAATTAGACTCAGTTCTTTCCACTTTTTCAAAACTTTTTTGGAAACCTTTTTGCAATTTTGGTCAAAACCAAAAACATTTCCCTTATGAAGCTCTAGAATATCTTCCAGCTGGCTACACGCTCCAGCATTTGTGCTGAAGCCATGGGAAAGTGGGCACTGCACGTGACACCGAAGTGTTTAAGTGCAATGATCCTTTGCACCAAATGAAGTGTGAAAATAAACACACCAGCAACACTTGCAGCCAGATAGGGGAAAGCTCCCTGGAGAGCTTCAAGCCTGCTGCCTGCCCAGGCTGATGCACTCAACCAGGTAACGTGCTGTACAAAGCATCTGGAAACAGGGCCTCTCGCAAGAGGAAGCCAATCGTGGGATGAAGGGTTCAAGAGCTGACCCAGACAGAGCCAGGATTAATGAACGACAAGCAGCAAGATGGACTGCAATAATGGACGAACCTTGGAAGCATTGGATCAGAGCGGCTTCGCCTCTCCTGTTCTCCCCACCCCACCCCGGTGCTGGCTGTCCTAGGCATTGCTGGCTTTCAAAGCTGCTTTGCTGAGCACTCGCCCCTGCTCTCTTTGCTTTGCTCCCTCTTCCTCTGGTTTGTGCTCAAGAAAAAAGACACCAAATCCAACTGTGGGAAGCTGTGAAAATCTTGGCCTTGCAGAGCCATAGACCACGAGGGCGGGAAGGGAGCTCAGGAGATCGCATCTGGTCCAACCCCCTGCTCCAAGCAGGACCAGCCCCAACTACATCATCCCAGCCAAGGCTCGTCTACCTGGGTCTGTGTGAGGAGGGTGAAGGGCCCCTGCTTGGTGCCCTGTGCCTGCCCCAGTGGCGCTTGCAGCTGCTTCTCGCTGCCTTGCCCACTCCCAGGCAGCCACTGTGCCAGCTCCCCCCGCTCCCAGCAGCACGCTCTGCGACAGCTGGGGAGCAGATGCACGGATGGCTTTGCAACTCAGCTCTTCCCCTCCACTCCTCTCATGCTCCAGAGGGGCTGCAGGGGTGGTCATGGGCACAAGAGATAGTCCCAGCCACGGGGGCTGCACTTGCCAGAAATGGGGTGGGGGCAGACAGTGGAAAGGGCAGGGCACGGCAGGGCTAGGCCCTTCCCTTGCTGCTCTTTCCTGGTACCAACCAGAGCAGCGTTTCGCAACCTGTTCTGCCTCAAGGCACCCTCACATCTTTTCTGAGCTGTGATATTCAAACACGTTACGGACGGGCACCCTGAGGCTGAAACGGCCGAGAACCGCGGGTGTAGACGTCCCAGTGCCAGCTTCAAAGGAGCCAGCTCCGGGACGGGCAGCGGTCTAGCCCCGGTAGCAAGAGCTCAGCCAAGACATACCTAGGGATTTTATAGATTTCACAGACATCGGGGCTGGAAGGGACCTCGCGAGATCATCGGTCCAGCCCCCTGCCCCAGGGGCAGGAAGTCAGCGGGACTCAGATGGCTGCAGCGTGCGTATGCCTCCGTGCCGCCATGGCTGGGGCGGTGCCCGAGCGAGGCAGTTTAAAGCCTGCTGGCATCTGCACTGCACGACGGGCACAGCGCTGGCTGCAATGTCACCACACAGAGCCAGAGCCCCCACCCGCCCCGGCAAGCCCAGCAATCAGCACGAACCCGAGGGGTGCAACCCCTGCCAGCTGGCTCGCACCGCGGCTGCGGAAAAATGTTCCCATGCGCGGGTCTCCCTGGGAGCAGCTCTGGCTGGCGATGCCTGGGACACCGCTAGCAGGAGGTCCTTCTGCACCAGACTTTCCCAAGACGTCTGACCGCACGGCAGCTAGCTGAGGGTTTGAGAGACTTGGCACCCCGGCCCGGCTGTGGGAGGCACGAGAGGTGCTGGGAGCCACTGCAGTGATTGCTGCTCTCTCCCCTGGGGGGGTGGAAAGGCTCAGCGCGGGGCAGGGAGCTCTGCAGAGGGGTGGAGGAAAGGGATGCCTGGGGAGAGGCACGTATGGAAAACACTGCTTTCAAAAGGAGCAGAGGCAGAGCAGCCAAGGGGAGCTTGTTTTGACGTGCTCCCGATGGCCGTCCCACGGATGGAGCATGGCATTGCTTGGCAGCGTGGCAATGAGGCACAGCTTCTTCTAGTCATGGTTATTATCCATGGCTGGCAGACCACGGCCACTCACCGCTGGGCGAGGGTAAGAGGACAGCAAGCGTGGAGCAATGCCGCGGGAACCAGTTTGGGGGGGGTTCACCCCGAACTAGGGGGAGGAAGGCAGGGTGGAGGACAGGAAGCGGCCACCTCCAACCTCCTTACTGCAAACCCAATAGACTTTCCCCATCCCTGTCCCCACAGCGTCTATCCTCCCCCAAGAATGGCCCCCGGGGGCATCTCAGTGGACAGGGGGAAGACCGATCCCCTGGGATTTATGAACTGGGCAATAGAAGAAAGGCTGATGCGGTCACAACCCCGAGGGCGCGCCCAGTCCGCCCGACGTGAGGTTTGCCTTGTCAGTGCAACGGGAAGGATGCACTCACCGTCTCCCAGGAACATGATGATGTTCTTGGCCACGTTTGTGTTGAGCTTCTGCAGCTTCAGGGCGTTTCTCAACGTCTGCTGAGCCTGGTCGCGCCAGTACTGGGGGCTCTTCTCCTTCTCTGAAAGCAGAACCGGGGCAGGGGTCGGCTCAGCGGAGGCCAGGCACCAGCACCGTGTCTCCCCGCATCTGCGTCTGGCCTCGCGGTCGGGCCAGGTGGCTTCGGGCAGCGTTTTGGTCCCGGGACGCTTCGGGCCCGAGGCAGCGCGTCCGGGGAAACAACGCAAGTTATAGCTCTTGTATTGTTTCCCCGCAATACCCCGTGGCGGATCTGGCGGCAGGGTATCATGAGGAAACAATACAAGAGCTATAACTTTGCTGTGTTTTGCCCGATTTGCATGGAAGTTTTAGAGGCGGTGGGCTCTGCGGAGAGGATGAAGCCTGCCAAGTTTCAAGATCAGTGCAGGGGTTTGGGGGAAACCGCCCCTCAAGCTGCGGACAAGCACGACTGGTGCCACGGGTGCTGTGGGACTGGCGTGTCCGTCTGGGGGCCTGGCTGCTGAGGGGCTGTCCTCCCAGTTACCAACCAATCAATCACGATTCACTCAGGGCCCAGCTCAATACCCAGCACCTCGCTACATAACGACTTAACAAGCATCAATTAGCACCTACACAACCCGGCTAAGGAGAGGAAAGACTCAAGGCAGAAAATCACCTGCCCCACGACAGACACAGATTTCCCAGGAGTTTTGTCTGTCAGCAGCCAGGGGTGCAGGCCCCAGAGCCCCTGCACCCATCTCCTCCGCAGCTGGCAGCGTCACAGCAGGGGCCACCATCCCTGCAGCTGTCACCCCACCGCGCCTCAACACACACAGTGTCACCCGTGTCATGAGTTTTGCTTGTCCGCAGCTTGGGGTACAGTGCCCCTGCACCGATCTCCTTGAAACCTGGCAGGCTTCGTGGCCTCAGTTTTGGTGCCCAAAAGCAGCGACCCAAGTCCCTCCAGACAGCAGGTCAGCCGGGGAGCCAGGAACAGGAGCTGGGACTCCGGACTCCCCACCACCCGTCAGCAGAAGTAGCCAGGCCGAGAAAGGACGCGAGGGAGGCTCGGCGGAGTTGGGTCTGGGTAGGAGCAGCCCCGGTAGCAAGTGTACTCAGGACGCGCCTTTGGGGGAGCCTGCAGGAGCCGGAAATGTCCCCGGGGGCTTGGCCGTGCCAGGGCTGGGGCACTGTGCAGACAGTGTGAGAGGGTGCCACGGACAACAGGGTAGGGCACGGTCCCTCTGCTCTCTGCCTAACCTGCCCTGGCCAGGAGAGGAGGGGAAGCCCTTTGTGGCTCAAGCCCCCTCGCTCGGCTGACGGACGGAGGGGAACAATGGGCTCAGGGGAAGTTTCTGCCGCATGTTTTATCCCTTAGCAACAGCACGCAGGGGCGACGCAGCCCGCTGGGATCCCCGGTGCCCATTTTTCCTAACTCAGCGTTGCTAACTCATGCGATGTGAGCGCAAGTCCAGCTTTGGCATGCTTCGCAGACAGCCTCCGCTGCCCGAATTGGGCTGTTGCATGAGACTTTTCCAGGAAAACCTTGCTTTCTCTCGTCATCTCCAGCCCTCTTGGTTGCACAGAAAAGCCTCAAAACCGGCAGGACCGGAAAAGGCAAATAAACAGAACAGCACCCCTCTTTTTTGTTACGTCCTGCGATTTTTGGGGCCAGGCTCACGGTTCTCCTTTTTTTGCGGCCCAGGGGAGGCCGAGTGACGGGCATGCTAATGCTCCAGCTGGTTTCTAGCAGCTTCTAAAACACAGTGGACACCATGAAAGTGCTCACAGACAATTTAAAGAGATGCTCCCCTGTCCCTATACACTGCAGTTTTATTCACAGCGGGGTCACACAGGGCAGGGGAGGGCTCTGGAAGACAATGGAGCAGCAGTGGAGGGAAGATTCCTCCGGACTCGCACTGCATGTAGATAATCCCCCGGGCAGGAAGGCACACAATGAGGAGAAGAGTCCAGCCAGAGCAACCAGTTTGGCCTATGCAGCAATATTGCAGGTTTCCAGCCTTTTTCCCCTGCTCTCACTCCCTTCCCTCGCCCATCGCTCCATGCTGCAAAGCAGGAAGTGCTTATCACTGCTGGCTTTACGTGTGGCTTTCGCCGGAGAAAAATAAAAGCTCAAAAGTCCAAGGAGAGGGAAAGGTTGACTTGGCCCCGTCTATTCACCGCAGCCATGGCCTGGGACATCCTTTGGCTCTCTAACGGTGGACCCCACTGGACCAGGAAATGACACCCGGACCTGCTGCATCCCAAGGGAGCACGTTAACCCCCAAGCCAGTGATTAACCCGAAACAGGGCTCTCGGTGTTTGCTGTTGGCATGGCTGCACATTGTATAACGAATTAAATGACCATTAAAGTAGAAATTTGGACCTTGGTATCTCATTAGAGTGTCACAACCACTGGCCCATAGAGTCCGCTTCTCTTTGACCCTACGAACATGTCACAGCCCCAACAGGAGAGACAACAACGTTGCCCCAGACTAAGCACTAGCCAACCCTCCACCTTACAGGTTATTTTGGGGCCATTATTTTAGGTTATTTTATTATTATGAAAGGTTATTTTAACATCAGCCTGTTAAAAGACCCTGATGGACCATTTTCTTCAGCCCTGGTGGTGCGCTGTGTGAGCCCCAAGTGTCACACGGCTGGTCACACGCCGGTTTTGTGCTCGTTGCGTGGCAGAGGAGCCACAGCCCAGGACCCTTCAGCAGAGGCTGCTGCTGCTTTGCATGGGTGCATTTGAGAGAGACACGAATCCCCTCCAGTGGACGAGCTTTGCACTTCGCAATTAATTACCAGTGCATTCGTGCAGCAAAGATCAGATCAAAAGCAAAGCTTTCTGGCTGACTCCTGGCTATTCCTGCCAAGCAAGCACGGCCGCGAGTCAGTGAGGATGCACCCACCTGGGAAAAGGGACCCAAGGCAAAGTTCAATCAGAAGGACGAGGAGAAGAGCCTTCATGGTGCCGCAAGCGTTGTTAAGATGACACCCCGGAGCTGTCTGCTCTGCAAATAACTCAGACCAGTCCGTTCCCGCGTACTGGCCCCTGTGGGATAGAAACACAGAGCACATCACATTGCTGCACTAGGGAAGAAACACAGCAGCACATCTCCACGGCCTTCCCCGCGCTTGTCTGGAGCCCCCCACATACAGCAGCTCTCAGGGGGGCAAGTGAAACCTGTAGCTCCCTGGACCAAACAGCTCTGCATCCCACAGCCTGAGCCCAGGGCATTATAGTTCATCCCAGGGGAGGAGCAGAGACTGAGTAAGAGTGAGGTGTGAGGAAGGCTGTCATTTAGATAAACCGGGGTTGCAATGAGTGAGCAATCAAGGAGCATCACTGTAGGAATGGAGCTATCTAGGGCACAATGCAAGACAGAGGAGTCACCATTAGCTGTTAACACTCTCCAGACAAGTGATGCAAATCATGGACAGCAGCAGGAGGGCACCTGGAAGCAGTGAACTTAGGTGCCAGGATGGGCTGGCTAAGAACCGGCTGCCTGGTGCAGGGGGAGGTGAAATCCAGGACAGTTCAGGCAGAGGGAAGCGATGCTGGACCACGCATGGGAGCAAGGCAGAAGACCCTGACATCCAGTATCCCAGCTGCTCCGTTTGGTGAAAACACTCTTCTATCTCATTGCAACGCAGTGGCTGGCTGGGCAGGTCTCCAAACAGAGAGCAAGTTACTTGGAAACACTGCAGCCAGACAATACATGGCTGAAATCAGAGCCCCAATCTCAGCATGACACGCATGCAGGATGCAGTGGCGATAGCACCCCTGTCCGGTTACCCTGGCCCAGCTGTTTCAGGCAGGCGCACACCTGGAGTAGCAGGGGCTTCTGCAGACCAGAGGGCAGGGGCAGGGGCAGGGGCAGGGGGCGCACCCTGCCCTCCCTGTCTCTGCCTGGCAGGGCAAGCATATTAAACATCCGGCTCAGGGCATTCTCACATCAAAGCCTGCGAGGTTGTTCCTCCTCTGTAGCGAGGCTGAGCCGAGCCACCACCCATGCAGAAAGCCAGCTGACTGCTGAGAGAGTGGCTAGGGCCAAGTTATGAGGGGATGGCAGCTGCCGATGTCATCGGTGCAGGATCGTACCCCGCTTCCTCCCAAAAAGCAGTGGGTAATTCCTGGCCTACTCTTGCTGGGAGCTTAACTCTTCTACGTATTTGGCCTGGGATCTCTGCTACCACGCAAGCGCCCTGTGCAGGACCTCTGTCACCCAGCCAGTGAAACAGCAACATCCAAAACTCAGACATCCCAGCAAAACCTGCTACTAAACTTCAACATAAGCCAGTCAATTAAGAACAAAACGAGCGACAGTCATTTCACCTGCACCCTAACAGCTCTTCTGCTATAACCCAGCTTCTTGGGGTCTTGCAAGATAAAGCTAGGAGGGAGCTCTGTGATGCCTGAGTTTGCTCTACCTATTTTCATTTGAACCCATGGCTGTATCGACGTGGCTCCAGAATCAGAAGCAGCGTGGCCACGTTAGCACCGCACTCCGCCCTATTAAAAAGGATGTTGAAAAACGAGGAGTGTCCAGGAGCAGGTGACAAAGGGGATAAAGCATCTGTAAGAGGAAAAACCCAAGGAAGGGGGCACGTTTCTTGAAAGGCTACTTGCCATAAAAAAAAGACCACCTCAGAAGGCAACGGGCTGACACGGCAGCAAGCAGATTTAAATCAAATCTCAGGAAAAAAACACCCTACCCATATGAACAGGACCCAGAAAGCTGCCCAACCTCCTTCACCGGAGGCTAAGACGAGGCTGGCCAGGCATCTATCTGGGATGCTCCAGCTAAGACTGGCTTAGATGGCCTTTGAAGTCCCTGCTATCCTGTTTCCAGTTCCTGTATGAGACTCCCCATCCCAGCGTGAGCCTCTTATTCCAGTATCACTTCAGCCACCTTAACTCTGCTGGCAGAACAAACCTGGCACAACTTTTGTTTTTGGACCAAGCCCCAGCAAAGGAAAATGACTAACTGCGTGACAAAGAGAGACCCGGCGTCCACACCAGCTGCTGGCAAACACTCAAAGGAACCAGAAAAAGAAAATCAAGAGAAACCAATACTTCCCCTCCGATCCCTCCGCGGCGGGGCCAGGCGCGGAATCACGGTCATTAAAGCAAAAAGTGGAGGGGGGTGACATTTCCAATTCACGTGGCATGGGGCAGATGGACAGCACGTGCCAATTTGACCCGCTTGCCCTTAACTGGAATTCAACAGCTGGCTGCAGCCCTTGTAACCTGTCATCCATGCCGCGTCTTTCCCAGGGGGAGACCAGTGGGAGGCTTGCTCGCTCCTTTGGAAAAGGAGGCTCAGACGCCTCGTGGTACTTTGCTCACAAGCTTAGCATAGCACGGGCGGCGGTTCTCCGCTGGTCCCATTCTCCCGGTGCGCTCTGCACCATGCGATCCAGCCCAGGCGGGGATGGGGGGCACAGCTTGTGCCCCTTCTTTGCAGGTGCTGTTTGGCTCCTGGCACGCTTGCTCCCCCCTGCCAAGGGCCTTTGTGGATGCAGAAGCACAAGGCAATGCTATTCGTGGCCCCCATTTACCCTGCCACTGAAAGCAGTGGGCTCTCTGTGCTTCAAGAAGAGGGTGGCAGAGCCAGCTCTGTTCATGGATCCGGGGCGCTGGCCGTACATGCGGGGCCACAGGGGTGGAGAAGAGCCCCAAACCAGCCTCAGCTCTGCTCCTCTTGCTGCCTGCACACGAGGGCTGTAGCAAACCCCTCTTCCCCTTCTCTCCTTACCCCCACACTTCAAGGTGAAGTCCCTAAGAAAAGTCACCCAGGCCCTGCACCAGCCCTCCTGGCATCTCCTCCTTCC